CCACCCAGGACTTCTCACCACCTGATGTACCATCCTGATCAGAGGTTTTGAGCATTTCTTCTTCTCTTTCCAAGCCCAATCACAATTCGAGTTTAAAACAGTATTTTTGATACATTGTACAAGTTTCCATTATGGATATGATCTCAGTTATAGGGATATAAATGTTGCCTAATGATTAGATTAACATCTAACCTCCCATTTAATGCACATATCTCCTATAACACATCCCAGTCTCAGAGTCACTTTCTATTTCTGCAATAAATTAACATTTTTACATATTGTGTAACTTGCTCTAATTTTTCCCTTAACCTAGCCTGAAAATCTTTCTCTTTTCATTTTTTGTTTAGCCTTTTCCTTATATTCAGATCCCAAAGTGGAATTAGCGGCCCAAACACCTCTGGCATTTGTTGTGTCTCTTAGAACCTCAAGGAGGGAAACCTACCCCTTCCCACCCTCACACTGCCTCTGCTGGGGTCTGGAGGGGACTCAGCAGCTCCAAGTGGTTTGCATCTCCTCCTGCTCTTGTCACCATGGAGCCATCTCCTGCCCCGTGGAGAGGTGGTGTGAAGCCCTCTCCCTGTGTCCTAGGCTCCCCTGGTGGAGGTTTGCTGTGTCTCTATCTGGGCTCCCTGAAATGCCCTGTGGAGGAGCAGGGCCTCGGGGCTCACCTTGTCGATGAAGGAGGCGAACTTGTTGTTGAGGGTCTTGATCTGCTCACGCTCCTCAGTCCTCACTCGCTGGATGGTGGGGTCGATTTCCAAGTTCAGAGGAGTGAGAAGACTCTGGTTGACTGTGACCTCTTGGATGCCTCCAGGGGGGCACACAGGGAAGCCAGCGCCCCCATAGCCACCTCCAAAGCCAGCTCCACCACCAAGCCCAAAACCACTACCAGCTCCACCACCATAACCAAATCCACTGCCGGCTCCACCTCCAAAGCCAAAGCCACCTCCAATTCTGCTGCCATATCCTCCACCAGTGGCACAGCTGCCCCCTCCGATGGAGATTCTCTTGGAACCCCCCAGGCCATAGAGGCTCCTGCTGCCAAAGCCAGCTCCTCCACACGCTGCCCCAATGCCACCACTGCCCCTGGAGCGGCACACAGAGACACTGCTGAAGCCAGAGCGGCTGAGCCCAGGGCCTCTGGCTGAGCTGGCACTGAAGCCACGACGGCTGCTGCTTTGGCTCCTCACGGTGGTTTTGCTAGACATATTTCCTGGGGTTGAGAAGGCTGCGCAAGGTGTGGGAGGTTGAGGGTAGAGCTGAGAGGAGCAGATTGAAGACATGGGCTCGGGTAACAGCTTATATATGGTACAGATGGGCTGGGCTGGCTCCTGGAAGGTGAGCTTCCAGATTGTGAGGGTTTGGCATGACAAATAGTATGGTCACACCTACATTGTTAGCAAAATTATGAAATACTGAGATTGCATTTTTGTCTTCCTTTAGTCAGGGAAAATTCTCCTGACTCTAGTTTTGACTTGATCTCAGTACCGTAAGACAAACCTTAATTCACTGTAGCTAAGGGTTAGTCATAGTCTTACACAAATGTTCTCCATGTCTTGTGGAGACAAAATGTTTGGAGTGTTGTTCTCTTCCCAGCCTACAGAAATACTGAAGATCAAATATCATCTTATGCTAACAGAAGGATTACCATTTTCTTTCATTGTTACAAATGTTAAACATGACTTATTTTGCCTTTATGTAAAATATCAAACACATAGAGGGGTAATTTGCTTCATATAGACCTGTCAGCCAGGTTTACCAATGAAGCTTTCCTGGCCAGCCCTGTTTCTTTTATTCTTCCATCCTATTCACTTACTAACCCTGAATTATTTGAAAGTAATTTTCAGAAATCATGACTTTTCATGAAGTATAGAAGTGTAATGGTAGAGTTTAAAACATATACTCCATTCCACTTTTATATCTTAAAAATGTATATATTCATTAATGTCAAAAATTATTTAACTTATACAATTTAATTTTTCAGTGTCCTTGTTAATATTACTTATTTCTTACTATTTGGTATCCCAATTATTTCCATCTTCATTTTCTTTGGGTGAGATATCTTAAATAACATGGCTTTTAAATAATTAACCTTCCATAATTTTTGTTCTTAGTAATTTATTTTTTAAAGAAAACACATTATTGTTTAAAGAAAACACCTGGGTGGTGTTTCAGTGTTTGTATTTTCTATTTGTGTGTGCCTCATGTTTCATTGAACATGCTATGTTGTCCTTATTTGCCATAAACTTGTAGTTAAATCTTGAAAGATAGTAAGATTGTCATATATTCTTACTTTGCCCAAGTAAATATAATGAACTCATATTTAAATATTGAATATGGTTACTTATACATTTATTTATGTATTTACAAATCCAATGCGTAATACATGTTTGAGGAATAGAACACACACTAAAGTCATGCCCCAGTGTAAGTAGTTCCTTGTGCATCCTTTCAGTAACTTTATTGGAGATGTTGTTGTTCTCATACTGGATAGTATGTGAGGTATGTGAATTTGTGTGTAAAGAGGGTGTTACTGTTTATTATTCTATGATTTGCATACATATGTAAATACTTAAAAATATATATCATATATATTTTCTTTTCAAATTATGCTTTCATTGGTTTTGCATCCACTTTGTCTGCCTTTTCTAACTGTCTTTTGATTCTCTCTTTTTGGTACTGGGGATCAAACTCGGGACCTTGGGCTTGCGAGGCAGGCAGTGGAACCACTGAGCTAAATCCCTGGCCTTTCTTTTGATTCTCTTTTAACACCCTCTGACTCCTTTTTCATAACCATGAGGTTTTGGTCATCTTTTCTTCTATGTCCATTATTGGCCTCAACCATGTCTTTCTTCTTGGTGCTGCTTTCAATTCAGCCTTCATTTCTTTCTAGAGTGCTTTATTTTTTCTCTGTCCTTTTCTGAGTTTTTTTAAGGTAATGTTTTACCTTTTAGCGTTTCATCATATTTCCCCTTCTTTCTTTCATTTTGTAGTTAAGATCACTTTATTGAATTTCCTGCTAATATTGTACAGTGCCTTTTCGTGGTTCATTGTTAAGTGCCTTTTTCTTTTCCTATTGCTATCGTTGTTTGAATGCACAGATATTTTGTGGGTCCTGCAATGGTTTTTCTCTGAGCAATGCTCATCTTTGAATGAAACGAGCAACTTGAAGACCTGTCATTTACAGAAATTGTTCTGGGAGGAGAGGCCAGGGCCGTTTCCAGGCTAACAAGAATTCTCATGATGACACATAACACAGTGAATAATTCTTCTATTCTTTAATTTGGCCAACCCAATGAAAAGCACAGCATAGTGACTCATGAGTCACAATCTTTTGCCTTTTTTTCTTACCACCAAAATGCTGCTGATATGCAATAAAATGCTATCACCTTGACTCTGTGACAAGGTGCCTACATATTTTGCTGGATGTGTTTGTGAGGGCCTTGCTGAACGAGATTAAAATGTGAATTGGTTGACTGAGGGAAGCTGACTGACTGTCCTCATGTGAGTGGCCCCATTCAAACCCTTGAAGGCCTGAATATATGCAAAGGCTAAGTAAATGTGTAACTCTCTTCTGTGATTACCTTTGAGCTGGAACTTTTTGGTTTTTTCTGCCTTCGGACTCAAAGCATCAACCTGCTCTGGGTCTCAAGACTGCCCTGTTTTATCCTGGGACTGCACCATTGGGTCTTCTGGTTCTCAGGCTTTGACTCTGGCCTGGAACAGGATCATCAGTATTCCTTAGTCTCCAGCATCCTGACTGCAGATCTTGGAATTTTTCTGGCTTCAAAGTTATATCACCCAATTTATAATCTCTCTCTCTCTCTCTCTCTCTCTCTCTCTCTCTCTATATATATATATATATATATACACAACACACAGATATAGATATAGATATAGATATAATTATATTTACATTCAAGATATATATACACATAGATTTATATATTCAAGAAATATATATATATATATGCAATTTTAGGTTGAGAACAATATTATCTCCTATTGTTTCTATGTCACTAGATAACACTAGCGTGTAAGTGTTATAGTTTCAGAATTGTTAGTCATACCTCCATGGCAAACAGCATTATCTACTAGAGTATAGTTGTTTAGAGTTACTTGGGTTTCTCTTTTCATACTCCCTTCCACTTTAGTGAACTTCATTTATACCTTTGTAATATACTTAGATTCTTTTCTCCTGCTGTACAGTCCATCATGAGCTATCTCAACATTATTACTGTTTTAATTGCAAACATTAAAGTTCACTTTGGAGTATAAAATTCTATGGGATTTTCCCAACCAATATCTCACAATGTGTTTTCTTTGGGGGAGGGGGGGGGCTACCAAAAAGTATTTATGAAGTTATGTGGAAAGGCAAAACACACAGAATAGCTAATTCAATATTGAAGAAAAAGAAAAAATTCAAAGAATTGACAATACCCAACAAAAAGACCTACTGTGAAGCTACCCTAATCAAGAGAGTGTGGGACTAGCACAAGAAAGACAAATAGATTAAGGAACAAAATAGAGAGCCCAGAATGAACCCTGAAATTCACTTAACTAATCTTTCATAAAGAAGCAATGGAGTAACAGTGGTGTTTTCAACAGATGATGCTGTAGCAAATGGGCATCCACTTGCAAAGAAAAATAAATCTGGCCACAGAACATATATGCTCCACCAAAACCAACTCAAAATGGATCATAATCCCTGATATAAACAACAAAACTATAAAATGTTTTGACAATAACAAAGGAGAGATCGCGCAGAACATGCCAATCCAGCCCGGTTCAGACAGGCAAGTCTGCGGACACTGTAGCAAGGTCGCAAGTCACGCGGAACTCGCTGATCCAGCTCGCATCCCAGCAGCAATCCATTGCCCCCGCCACCCCGCTCCTCTGGTTTCTTCTCTGTACTGCCACCTGGTTCCACACTACAAAGACTCAGAGGACACCGGACCACCAGACCACTGTACTGGGTAAGTTGGAGTCATCATCACCTCCCATCAGGACCGGGACTATCTTCAGGGGAAGGGCAGGTGGAACCTGCAAAATAACCCTGGAGAGTTCACCCCACAGGAGGACAGGGAGCTCAACTTGGGTGTTGCATCCAGAAACCTCCTTGAATCTCACAGGTCTGCAACTGGCTTGCTGAGACTAATTGACTTATATCTCGACACTGCTACCCACGTTGTCTACAGGCCCTTCATCTTCATTTTTATTTTTTATTCCCAAAATTAGTATTATTGGTGTGTTTTTTTCTCTTTTCTTCTCTTTTGCTCCTCTTATCTTTATTTTTTTCCTACTCTTTGCAAATATTTGCTTTTCTCTCCTTTTTGTTCTCCTTTAATTTCTTCTTTCTTTTCTCTTTCCTTTCTCTCTCTCTTACACTCATGCTCTTGCACTCCCATATTGTTCATCTTCCCTTTTTGTCCCTGTTCTGGCTCTCATTTGGAGTTCTTCTTTATTTTCCTATTATTCTCTTTTTCCTTCTCACCTGTGTCCTCTGGCCTCACTGCTAACCTTCCCCTATCCTTCTTCCTATCTTTCCCTCCCTCCACAACCTCTTCTAATTCCCCATGCCAAAGCGTAAAGTTGTTATATTGAAGAGTTTATTCACTATATGTTGGGTTGGTCCTCGATCTTGATTTAATTCAACAGCTAAAGGTGATAGATTAATAACAACCACAAAATGTCATTTTCAAAGATGTACTTGATGCAAAGGTGTTGCTGATTGTATCACTTGGGCGAAGGTGTTGTTATTGATCTAGTCAGTGATCCTTCCTAGTATAAGGAAAATGAGATAGCCTTAGAGTCATTAGAGACTCAAAACTTAAAGACCAGCTATATTTGGAAGACATCTCTGAGAAGCAATCATTCCATAAGGGTTCTAATTACAAGCAACAAAGATACCTACAATAAGCAATTTCAAACTGTCAACCCAGGAGTTAAACCAAGGACAGTACGAAAAAACAAAAATGAGAAGACATTTAAGCAAGGCACAAACTCAAACTTCTACCCCACCAATGGTAAATCCTGGGGGAAATGAGATGGAAAA